CAGTGGTCCCTACAAGCCAGGCAGCAGGACTCTGTGCTCATCAGGATGTCAGGATGGTCGCCATTCTGGGAAAGGAGCCTGGGGAGGCTGCAGGGGCCACAAAGCGACCTGGGCAGACAGCGGTGCCTGACACACTGAGTGCTTCCTAATGCTCAGATCTGCCCTAAAAACCTTACATGTTTTAACTCATTTAATTCTCTCAACAACCCCCTAAAGTAGCTATTATTATTTCATCAGCTTTATAGTTGGGGAAATTGAGGCACAGAGGGGTAATATAATTTGTCTAAGGTTGTGCAACTAGTTCAGAGTTCTTGATATACTACATTGGCAAAGAATATGTTATAGAAACTTTAAAGCCATATATTACCATCTATTTAGCGCCTATGTATTTTTTGCAGTATTCTTTTTTGTTTTGTTTGTTTGTGTTTTTGAGAAAGGATCTCACTACGTAATTCAGGTTGTCCTGTAACTCACTAAGTAGCCCAGGCTGGCCTGGAACTCACGGTGATCCTCTTGTCTCAGCCTCCCGAGTGCTGGGACTACAATTGTGCACTACTATGCTCATCATTTTTTGGGGGGGTACCAGGAATCAAACTCAGGACCTCATGCTTGACAGGCAGACACTGCGCACTGAGCTAAATCCCTGGTCCAATGTCTGGCATTTTTGCAATATTCTTAACTCATTGTTTTCTTGAACATGCCTGAAAGACAGATTTGTCTTTGGTCCAGACTGCTTTGGAACAGATCAAAATAATAATAATAAAGATTAATATAATTAATAATAATAATTGTTGTTGTTGTTAATTCATCAGACATATTTTAGGGCCTGGCACATAATGATAATGATGGCTAATCCAGGGAAAGGCAGTGGACTTTCACAAGGCATTGGACACAAGGAAGCAAAGAACCAGCTTGTTTAGCTATCTGGTCACCAGCTCAGGGTTCCTGCCTGAGTGTAGCTCTCTGGTGGAACATCCAGGGCTTCTGGCCTAAAGGAGCATTTGTAGAATCTGAGATCCACTCATCAGACCCATTCACTGCGATGACCATCAGTTTGTTGCTTCTCAAATCCAGATTCACCCTCCTTAGCCTGTGCTGAGAAAGGACCAGGACTTTAAGCACCTTCCTTCTTGGGCTGTTGTGGGATAGGCTTGCTCACAGAGCATCCCAGAGAGACACTGGGAGAAGGAAGGGCTTCTCTTCTTAGGGCCAGGAGGCTGGCGCTGCCTGGCTTCTGCAGGGTGCAGAGCTTTTCCTGCAATGCTGGCGGCCAGCAGCCTGTGACACCCTCCTGTGGGCAGGTCTCCATGTGAGCTCCACTGGAACCCGCCAGGAGCCTCAGCAGTAGAGTCCTGAAGTGAGGCCCCTCCCCTGGACAGCTTCTCAGCATCCCCTTGTGCAGCTCTGCAGTGGATGGCATCTTCTGTACAGTCGAGAGCAGATTTCCGGAAACTCACTGGGAGGCCCTTGTGAACCTTGCCACCATCCGGAGGGCCCTGGCTGTACCCTCTGTCACATGTACTCTCAGCGCTGGGACCAGCCAGCCTCCTCTCTCTCTCTCTTTTTCTTCCTTTCTTTTCTTTCCTTCTTTTTTTTTTGAAACGGTCTCTCTATATTGTTCAGAGTGGACTTGGACTCACTGTGGACTTGGCCTCAAACTCAGGGCAATCCTCATGTCTCAGCTTCCTGAGTGCTGGGAAATTACAGGTGTGTGCCACCACGCCCAGTGCCAGCCACCTTTTGCATGCTCTATTTTAGCCCTAGCGGGGAGGATGGTAGCTGCTGCCTATCTCTGCTGTTCCCACTCTGTAGCACACTCTCTGTACTGAAGATTGAACCTAGGGCCTTTGCACTGAGCTACTTCTGCAGCCCTTATATTTTTACAGTATTTTTAAAAATTTTAAGACAACTTCTCACTAAGCTGCTAAGTGGCACCAGCTAGGCTTGAACTCGCAGTCCTCCTCAGCTCCCCAGAATGCTAGCTGCCAGGCCAAGGTAGTGTGCTTTTTACCTCCCATCAGCCTGTACCTCATTACTGCAACCCCCTGGTGATAATGTTAGTCCATTTCCTTGTAGCAAGTACCAGGTGGTTTCTGTTTGAACTCTAATACATATTTATAGCTATATCTGTATCTAAAATCTATATCCTGTTTTATTGTTTTTACAACAAATGCCCAACACAGACCATAACTGCACAAAAAATACTTAAACCCAAGCTGGGTGCAGTAGGGACCACCTTGAGGTGCAGGAGTGCTTGAGTTCAAACAAATGAACAAATCAGCAATAAGAAAACAGCAGTGACACAGCTGAGGTCTTCCAAGCAGAGGTCCCTGAGTGTCTGGGTACCATGTTGACCTGCAGGCATCAGGATTGGAATCAGGGTGTTACACAATGAACCCCTGTGTAGAGCCCTCCCCAGCCCTCTGCAGACATAACTGGCCAGGACAAAGACCCTTGCAGCTGGTCAAAGGTCAATGTTCCTAACAGTTAATTATTCTACATGATTCTCTTGGTTCCCATAATTACATTTTTTGGGCTCCTTTGTACTCTGTTTGTCAGCTGACATTAGTTTATTTATTTATTTACCTTTTTAGGCAGTCTCATCATGTAGCTCAAACTGACCCTGATATTCCTGTCTCAGCCTCCCAAGTGCTGGGATTTCAGCCACACGTCCCCACGCCGGTGCTCAACATTGGTTCATACAAACAGCCCAGTAGCCCTACAGTCCACAGGTTGCTGCTATTCACATAGTCATTGTCGTTATCACGAGTCATGGCGATACAAATGCTCTATTTTTTACACGCCCAGTTTGCTAAGCTAGTTCTCATTTGTTGTTTCTCATGTCACAAAAAGCACAACTTCAGATACTTTCTGAAGTTTTCTGCATCGGCTCCACCTCCTGTCCCCTACTCTGGAGCCTCTTAGCAGCTGGGCACATGCGCTCTCTTACGGGCAGACAAGAGATGGTAGGGAAAGAGCTGGGAAGAGCAGGGAGAACGTCTGAAGAAGGGGGAGGATGGAGTTGACTGAAGGCAGGGATTGAGCGGCAGCAAGTCCCCCTGCCCAGTGTCTCCTGCCGGGACGGAGCCTGTCCCGGGCAGGCAGAGGTGGAGGGAGACCTGTGGGAGCCGAGGAAGTGAGAGGTGGGAGGAGACCAAGACTGTCTTTTCTCCAGTCGGTCACGTTGAACCTGTGACTAATCCATTAGTCAGCCTAAGCACGTGGACACTACACAATATATCCTAGAAAAACATTTTAGTTCTCAAGAATAGCCTCAAAGCCACACAATGGCTGAAGTAACTGAGAGTAGGAAGCACATTGTGATTCTCTCTCTCTGACATTTTAAACCACCAATAACTCGATTGTTGCCTGCCTTCCCAGGCAGGGGACATGAAAAACTCTTTGTCACTCAACTCATTTAAGTATTAACTTCCTGTTAAATCTGTTTTTTTTTTTTTTTTTACACAAAAGGGTTGCTGATGCATGCCCAGAAATAAGTTTAAGCATGCACCCCTCACACTGCTTTCTTGTTCACGTACAATGTTTATTTGAACATTCTTTATTTCCCATCCATTCTGAAAAGTAATTTTGCATCACACACTGTCCTCAGTCATTTTCTCTTTTCCCTTTCAACGTGTCAGCAGTGTTCTAGGTCTGATGCAGCATAAAGATGTATGAAAGTGTCTGGTGACAGTCTGCAGAGGATACGAAAAACATGGTGAGCGTTTCAATTAAAAGACATATTGTGGAAAAGGCACATTGCCATCCATCCCTTTCACAATACTTACCCTCGCTTCAAATGCACTTGTCTCACAGTGATGGCCACTCCTCTGTCATGTCTTTAAGAGGTGTGACTAAAAACTACTGTGAGTGCTGTTGCTGTGTGCCATCCAACAGAAACACAAACACTGGGGTGTGTCCTCGCCCACCTTATTCCCTGAAACTGGCACTGGGTCACTTCCGAATCTTCCCCAAAGTAAAAGTGACCAGAAAGGTAAACATCGGAATTGGGCCACTGAAGCAGTCACAACAACACAACTAAAGACACTCACAAAGGAAGAGCTCCAGAACGGCTTCAGAAAGTGGCAAGAAATGTGCGCTCAATGTATTTGAAGCTCGGGAGAGGTTTTTTTGAGGGGAATTAAAGGCTCTGTGTCTTTTACTTTATGTTTTTAAAAATGTAAACAGTCACTATTTTTTTGAGCACTCTTCATACTTAGTGTTTCTTTATTAAGCAATGTACCTTTTTCCTTCTAGTTTCCTTAAAATCTTATTTTAAGTTTAATCTGTAGTTTTACTGTGTGTCTGGTACAGATTTCTAAAACTTTGTCTTCATGGTGTAGGTTGTGCCTCTTGTATCTATAGACTCGTATCTTTCAGTTATGGAAATTCTCATTCCTTTGAATATTGCCTTTCATCTCTTCTTGCTTGTCTTTTCTGGGACTTATACTGTAAGTGCATTAAACCTGCTCATTCTGTATTCCGTGTCTTAACCCCTCTTTCATATTTTCTATCTTCCTTTCTGTTTATGTTATATTCTGGTTAATTTCTTTAGCCACGTTAGTTAAATAATATTCATTTCAAGTGTTTCCTTCTTTACTTTTTTTCCTTTGCGGTGCTAGGACTTGAACCTAGGGCAAATAATCTTTCCCTGAGCTACATTTCCAGCCCTTACCTGTGTCTTACTTACTCTGCAATCCCACCATAAATTTTTATTGTTAACAATTATATTTTTCATTTATAAATGTTTTACTTGGCTCTTTTTTCCAATATTCCTGGTCCTATTTTATAGTCTCTTGATACTTCTACACAATTATGCCTCCATCTTTGATTTCTTTAAATATTTCATATATTTTACATTTTGCATCTGATAATTCTGGTGTCAAAGTCCCTAGAAGTATAAATGTATTCTTCTTTCTCTTTCATAATGGTGAGTTATTCTTTTGCTGCTCGTTAACCTTTGACTCTGAACTTGCTTTGCTTGAACTGTGGGAGTTCTCAGGGCCCAGGTTGAAGATATTTACTCCAGAAGAGGTTTTCACTTGTTTTGTCCAGAATGCAGAGGGCTTGATTAGACCTCTCCCAAGGACAGGCCTTAAGGTAGGAGACTTACCTTTGGCTTTTGCACCTTGCAATAGACACAGACTCAGCGGTGGATATTGTTCTGCACTATGGCTTCATACCTGGAGTTCAGCTCACTGCCCTTGTTTGTTTGTTTATTTATTATTCTTTGGAGAGATGGTTTTGTGTGTGTGTGTGTGTGTGTGCGCAAGCGCGTGCAAGCATGTGCTTGTGTAGTCTATCTGCATTAGAAACTACACAGCATACAGGATCTTACAGAGTTGTAGTAGGGGGGCCCTTCAGAGGACTGGCTCTCCTATCATAGTGGGGATGCACATCATGAACACATACTGTTCAGGGCACACAGGCACAACAGCAGGATATGCATAAACAGGAAGAGAGGCCCACGTGTATCTTTGAAATTTTCAGAACTTTAAAATAAAACAATGATATAGGGAAAGATCAGAGAACATCTCAAAGCTCTGTATGTCTATCTAATAAAACAGAGAGAGGTGAAGAGCTGTTACCCAAAACAACTAAGATTTCTCATAAGGGACTCAAGCTGATATTCAGGGCAGAGAGAGAGAAAAAAAGAAGCATTAACAGAGTCACTGAGAGAGGCAAATAAGGGCTCATCTCTGAGCCTCTGTTTATAAAAGGGGCCTGGCCTCACTGCTAATTTATTCCCCGGGCTACATAATTATAGGACTTAGCTAGTCATTTTTCATCTGAATATCCCCTTTGAAATTCCCCTATCATTTCCTTATTTATGAAATGGGTGCTCATTAGAGTCCTCTCAGCCCTATCAGGTGGCTTTTGTACACGGGCAGTGAATGCACTGTTACTCCTTATGAAGGTTGTTGTAGTTATGGGGCTGAAATTAACAATATTTCTAAGAGCTGCATCTCGTTTCCTACTTTTGCATGTTAATGTTTTGTCCTTTCATGCCCGCTTGGCGATTTGAAATTGGAAAGCACTGATTTCAGTCTTTTAACCCTAAAGTCACCACAGACCCATGGGCGTTTCCCTTGAAACAGCACGTGTCTAGGTCAGCTTCCATGCGGACCTGTGGTGTTCCGTGGAAATCTGTCATTCCTTCTATCCTTCAAAAATTCTTCTTAAACTATCTGAAGTAGAGCTTGCTTCTGGGTTGGAGATTAGTGATAGAAAATCTAGGCTATGAACAAAAGCCACATTTGAAAGAATATGTCTTTTCTTTTATTGACTTTTGCTCTAAAAAGCAAAACCAAAAAAATCTGCTGCTAGTTGTCTACACAGTGTTTTTTAATTTGAGTGTTAGACATCGGCTGTTTTCTTCTCAATTTAGAATGACACATTTTTTTCTTGAGCCATTTAAGTCCTCTGCCCATGAGGCTGTGCATGCTGGTATATGCTGCCCCTCCCTGTCCCTTGTTTCTGGAGAGGACTAATGTTTTTATTTTTTCTTTTTCTTGTTTTTTTTTTTCAGTTTCTGTGCTTTGGTCTTAAAGTTAGACCTTGGTCTTTCAGAATAGATGGCCAAGTCTGGTTCTAGGTCAGAACTCTGCAAATAACCTTTCAGGCCAAGTCAAAATAGGGAATCACACAAGACCCTAGAGAGGAAGTTTTTTAAGGTGCAAAAGTATTGGTTTTTGGGTAGCATGCGTGAGCAGAGTCAGGTATTCTTTCTTTCTTTCTCGTACTTTTGCATGTAATTTTATCATTGCTTTCATCCCCATTTTCTATTTACTCTGTCAAAGCTTGCTCTGCAGAGCCAGTTTCTCTCCCACTTCTCATTTTTGCTTTGTTGAATAAACTTTGCCACCGCTAAAAAAAAAAAAAATTCAGAAAGTAATTCTTGCCAATTTCTACATTCTGGGAGGTGCTCTGAGGGTACTGCTGTTACCCTCACGGTCCAGAGATGAGGACTCTTCCTCCAGTGGCTCATAACCTGTGACTAATGCGTTAGTCAGAGAAGCATGTGGAAACTACACGGTACATACTAGAAAAACACTGTAGTCTGTAGCAAGTTCAGCAGGGCCTCCAGAAGTCTCATAGGTGAGTGAAAACCATTCCCTAGCCAGTAAAAAAACAAACAAACAAACAAACAAAACCCCCCCAAAACAACAAAAAACCACAACAAACCATCAGAAGCGTTCTCTGGCCCCTTTGCATCGTATGTTGCCCTGGCAGCTTTTATTGCACGCACGGTGGTGACAACACCGAGCTACTGGTTATTTCAGGTTTCCCTTGGATTTTATTTGCCACAACCTATCTCCTTTTAGTAAAGTTAGCTTCCTTCAGACCAACAATTTGTTGGTGTACTTTTTGTGTATGTGTGTGGCTGTGGAGTCCGAACCCTGGACCTGGTGCATTCTGGGCTAGCACTGTACCACGGAGCCAGACCTCCAGCCCTAGTGTGGTTAACGTGTTAGACCTGCAGGAGAGTGTGGGAATTAGCTTAGGCCGCGGCTCTCACCCAGAGCAGCTTCTTGAGATACCAGATGTTAACATCCTGTCTAATGAACCGTAAGCCCCTTCATGTACTTGTTCATCTTACTTTCTGCCTGGCAGACTCAAACCAGCTTTGAGAATTTAATAATCCTTGGGCCGGGGATTTAGCTCTGCGGTTCCGCCGCCTGCCTTGCAAGCTTAAGGACCTGAGTTCGATTCCCCGTACTGGGGCGGGGGGGGGAGGCAGAGAATTTAATAATCCTTACAAGGAGACCCCAGAGAAGCCCCACAAGCTTGCTAATAAAGATACACCCAGATGACAGGCAGCGTGCGTGCCCTCCCTCAGAACCCGAGGTGTTCCTAACACCAAGTGACAATAATATAGTGATGATAATTTGGCGTATTTGTAACACCAGTGACACCACTAGTCTCCTAATAACCCTTCGGGGGCACTTCTCACTCTAACTCTTTTGTCACACAGAATTAAACAAATTTTGCTCTTTTTTATGGGTAATTTTAGATATCCATATGGATAACATTCAACATAGGGAATTTGTTCTTGTATGTGACATATCTTGCTTCTTTTTCCCGTTCACCTCCCTTGCCTTCAATCCCCTTTGCCCTCCTTATTTACCAAAGCTTTGTTTCCATTTTTTTCTCCTATTCTCTTTTTTTTCCTGTCCCTTCCTTCCTTCCCTCCTCCCTCCTCCCTGGTTTCCATTCTCATTTGAACACTTTCTCCCCATTTCCCAATTTTCTTATTTACACTCTTAGTTTTTCACAGCAGAGAAACAATGTAGTATTTAAACATAGGTCTGATTTATTTCACTTACTAGTATGGTCTCAAGGTGCATCCATTTGCCTAGAAATGACTCAATCTTAACCTTCTTTCTGGAAAAATAGTACTCCATCATATTAAAAAAAAAAACAAAAAAACAACCCATATCGTCTTTATCCACTTGATGGTGGATGGGCATTTGGGCTGTTTCCAAGACTTAGCTATTACAAACTGTGCCACTATAAACATGGTATCACTGTGGTATGATGCCTTTAATTCTTTCCAGAAGACACCAAGAAGGAGAAAACCCCGGTCAAATGAAACCTCTAGTTTTAGTTTTTTGAGGAATCTCCACACTGATTTCCACAGTGGTTATACCAGTCTGCTCTCCCTCCAACAGTGGAGGATTCTTTTTTCCCCACAGCCCCACCCGCATTTGTTATGGGTTGATTTCTTGATAGCAGCCATTCTTTCTGGAGTGAGATGGAATCTCAGCATTGTTTTAATTTTCATCTCTCAAATAATTAGTGATGTTGAAATTTTTTCATGTGTTTATTTGCTGTTTCTAGTTCTTCATCAAAGAAGTGTCTATTTATTTCAGATACCCATTTTTGGACTGGGTCTTTAAATTTTGGAGGTCTGACTCTTTTGAGTTCTTCATATGTCTTAGATATTAATCCTTTGTCTGAGGAACAGCTGGAAAAAGTTAATTCCCACTTTGTGGGCTGTCTCTTCATTCTATTGGTAGTTTCCTGTGCAAAAGCTTTTTTTTTGAGGGAGGGTCTCACTGTGTAGTTGAGACTGACCTAGAACTCACTATGCAGCCCAGGCTGGTCTTGAACTCACAGCAATCCTCCTGCCTCAGCCTCCTAAGTGCAGGGATTACAGGTATGCTCCACCAAGCCCGGCTACAAAAGCTTTTTAGTAAGATGAGATCCTACTTGTTGATTCTTTGTGATATTTCTTGTGCATTTAGGATTTGCTCATAAAGTCTTTGCCTACATCAATGTCCTCAAGAGTTCTACCTATTCTGTCTCCCAGCAAATTTATTATTTCTGTTTTAATATTTAGATCTTTGATCCCTTTGGATTTTAGTTTAGTGCATGGTGAAAGATATGGGTCTAGTTTTAATCTTTGGCATGTGGAAAGCCAGTTTTCCCAGCACCATTTATTAAGGAGGCTGTCTTTCTTCCAGTGAAGGTGTTTGGCCCCTTTGTCAAGACAAAGGTGGTTGAGTATGTTTGAAGTCGTTCCTACATCTTCTAATCTGTTCCACTGATCCTCAGGTCTTTTTTTTTTTTCTTCTTTCTTTCTTTTTTCCCCCAGTAGCATACTGCTTTTATAACTTTAGCTTTGTAGTATAACTTGAAGTCAGGGATTGTGATGCCCCCCACCTTGCCTTTGTTGCCCAGAATTGTTTTTTCTATGCTAGGTCTCTTCTGGTTCCAAATGAATTTTAGGATTTTAAAAAAAATTCTGTGAGACATGCTATTGCTATTTTGATTTAGATTGTATTAAATCTGTATAACAATTTGGGGAGTATGGCCATTTTCACTATATTTGTTTTTCCTACCCAAGAACGGGGTATATCTTTCCACTTTCTGTTATCTTCTTCAATCTCCTTTTCTAGAGTACTATAGATTGTTGGCAGGGTGCAGGGGATTGAACTCCAGAACGTGTACTTGTGAGGCAGGTGGTAGAACCACTGAGCTAAATCCCTGGCCCCAGAGTACTAGAGTTTTCAATGCAAAGGTCTTTTATTTGCTTTGTTAGATTGATTCCTAGGTAGTATCTTTTTTCTTTTTGGGGGAGCTATTGTGAAAGGTGT